TGACGCCGAACATTGGTTCCATGTGGACATCCTTGGTGTAGAGGAGCCCAACACGCCAACCCTTGGTGTAGAGGAGCCCAACACGCCAACCCTTGGTGTAGAGGAGCCCAACACGCCAACCCTTGGTGTAGAGGAGCCCAACACGCCAACCCTTGGTGTAGAGGAGCCCAACACGCCAACCCTTGGTGTAGAGGAGCCCAACACGCCGACGGAGGATATCTCAACAGACAGCGAACTGATAAGCCAAATCCAATCCCTGACTCCACCTGATCCCAGACTGATTGAGCTGATTTCAGCCTGTGAGAACCCAGTTTCCAGTCGAATGAAGGAGGCCACCAAGCATTACTTGGTGAAGGATGGAGTGCTCTACAGGAGCGGACGGATTGAAGTGCCACAGAATGAAGACCTCAAGTCCAAAATTCTGAAGAGCCACCACAAAGCAAGTTAGCGGGACACCCAGGAAGATCAAAGACGCTCTCGCTAGTACGCCGCAGCTTGACGTGGCCATCCATGAAAAGATTTGTCAACCGCTACGTGGATGGTTGCGACTTCTTAGGGTTAAATCCTCAACCCAGAAGCCATTTGGGACATTGGAACCGCTGCCCATCCCCGCAGGCCCGTGGACAGACATTAGCTATGATTTGATAACAGACCTCCCCCTATCCAACAATTGCGACGTGTCCTCACTGTAATTGACAGACTGACTAAAATGGCCCATTTCCTCCCTTGCAACAAGTCCATGAACTCTGAGCAGCTGGCAGATATTATGCTGAAGCAGGTTTGGAAGCTCCATGGCACCCCCAAAACCATTGTCTCGGACAGAGGAAGTATTTTTATTTCTCAAATTACACAGGAATTGGACAAGCATCTTGGAATCCAGCTTCATCCTTCAACGGCCTACCACCCTAGGACTGACAGGCAATCCGAAATCGTAAATAAGGCAGTGGAGCAGTATCTGCGTCATTTTGTGCAGTATTGGCAGGACGACTGGGAGCCCCTATTGGCGACAGCGGAGTTTGCTTACAACAACAATGATCATGTTTCAATTGGAGTTTGACCCTTTAAGGCCAACTACGGATTCAACCCTTCCTACGGCGGTATTCCCCCAACCAAACAGTGCTTGCCGGCGGTTGAAGAACAACTCAAGCAAATTGATGAAGTCCAGTCAGAACTCAAATTATGCCTAGAAGCGGCTCAAGAAGCGATGAAGGCTCAATTTGACAAAGGCGTGAAGGACACCCCTAATTGGAACGTTGGCAAAGAGGTTTGGTTGAACAGCAGGAATATTTCAACAACAAGACCCAGCCCCAAATTGGACCACTGATGGCTGGGACCATTTCAGATTTCTAAGAAAATATCCCAGTCTGCCTATAAACTGACTTTGCCACTATCCATGCAGGGTGTTCACCCGGTGAATCATGTTTCAGTACTGCAAAAGCACAAAACGGACACCATCACTGGGAGAGACCACCCCCCACCAGAACCGGTACAGGTCAATGATGAGGAGGAGCGGATGTAGAAGGCGTGCTGGACTGTTGGAAAAGAGGGAAGAAGGTCGAATACTTGGTCAGCTGGAAAGGATTCGGACCGGAGGAGAACTTGTGGGAACCGGTGGACAACTTGGAACACTGTCAAGATGTGGTTGCAGAATTCAACAACAAATTTACCAATGCGGCATCAAGGCACAAGAGGTCACGGAGAATGAAGTGAGAGGGCAAGCTTTTTCCCACTGGGTTTTTTAACGCTGCCAGGGGAAAGAATGCAGAGCCAAAAGAGGATGATTTTCTTTCATTTTTAATTTTTATCCATAGTTAAAAAAAATTTCTTACATCATCAACGGGGGCGGCTTGGGCATTAAAGGGGGGATAGTGTTATGAGCTGTGGAGGAGTGAAACAGGGGACGTTACATATGTAGAGAGCCTGTTACATGCATGTCACAAACTTTGAACTTGGAGTTCCAATTCAGTTGCTCGATTATGGCAGAGAGCTCCGCCTGTCCCGGTAAAGCTGGGTCAGCGGCAATCATTTTGCCTTTGTCGCAAGGCAACCTAGGCTGTACTCCGTAGAGGAGTTCAAATGGGGAGTATTTGCTACTGCTCCCTGCGTGTATCCTCGTGGAGAATAAGGCTTCCTCCAAGCAGTCTTCCCACTTGGACGGATCACCTGTGGTGTTCAATCAAAACAACGCTGACTCTAGGACACCGTTAAACCGTTCACACTTCCCATTCGTTTGGGGGTGATATCCTGAAGTATTCAACTTCTTCACTCCTGCTTTATCCAGGAGCTTGAGAAACCCGGCTGACATAAAATTTGAGCCGCGGTCCGTCAAAAACTCTTTAGGCACTCCAAAAGGAGTTATCACATGATCGAACACCGCTTGGGCTATTTCCCCGGTGTTAGCCTCCTTGATCGGAATTGCTATTGGCCAAGAAGTGCAATGATCAACCATTGTTAATATCCAACAGTAGCTATTTTTATAGCTCTTCGGCATTTGAATGAAGTCCAAAGACCACCTTTCAAAAGGCCCGACAACCAGGAGAGGCGTCTGCTGCCCCGTCTCTTGGCCCTTATCTGGCCTTTTGTGCATCTGGCATGAAGTGCACGTCCAAACGTAGTCCTTTACGTCTTTGTATCGGCAAGGCCACCAGCCCCGGCCCCTGAGGACTTGCAGGGTACAATCCCGTCCCCTGTGGCCAAGCTGGTCATGGACCTGGTACAAGAGATGAAACCGGTGTGCTCGCGGGACAAATGGAGACCGCTCCCATAACCCCGGATGGCCAAGATAGATCAAGGTCTCGTCAGCGGGGTCGTACTTGAAGTTATCTGAATTTTCCCGTGCCCGGGTAACCAGCCGCGGTGGTATGCCCTCAGGCAGTTCCACCCCTTCCAACAAATATGGGATTATCAGAGGCCAATCCGTTTCATGGAGTTGGTCGTCGATTTCTTCCACAACGCGAGGTCGCTCCGCCTAGACAGAGCATCTGGAACGGTATTTTCCAAACCCTTTTTATAGCGGATATCAATATCCATTTTCGCAAACTCCTCAAGCCATCGGCAGAGCTGTTTTGACAGCAGCCTCTGTGTCCTGAGGTATACCAGCAAGGCGTGATCAGTTTAGACTATAGTAGTCTCTACCGCCCCATCCAAATACACGTGCCATTTACGCCAAGCGTGAATAATGGCTAGCAACTCCCGTTCTTGAGCCGGGTAGTTGACCTGGGCTTTATTAAGCTTACATGACTCAAACGCCACCGGTGGAGGAGTAAATCCTCTCCGGCTTGCAACAACACGGCCCCAACGGCGAAGTCGGAGGCATCCGTCTCCATGACAAACGCTTTGAGCGTGTCCGGCATGAGGAGGACCAGTGCACTCACCAGAGCATCTTGCGGCTGTTTGAAAGCAATGTCGTGGACTGGCATCCAGCGCACTCGTTCTCTCTTCTTCACCCCTCCCGCCGTCAAGTCATGCAGAGGTGCCGCTATCTTAGCAAAACCTCTGACATACCGGCGATAGAAGCCACAAAGGCCCAGAAATGACCGCACATCAAAAACTGTCAATGGTTTTGGCCATAACTGAACAGAGGAGATCTTCTCCTGCATTGGCCGGATGGTGTTAGATGAACTCCCGCAGGATATGGGTCATCATCCTCTGGAACGTGCTAGGCGTGTTCACCAGTCCAAACGGCATAACAAGCCATTCATAATGGCCGTACTTCATGCCAAAAGCAGTCTAGCTTAGGAAAATCCAACCGGGCTATCTTCATCTGATGAAAACCCTGCTGGAGGTCAATCTTCGTGAAAAAACGGGCCCCTCTTAGCGCGTCGAAGCATTCCTGAACTATGGGAAAGGGGTGCTTGTCTTTCTTAGTGACAGCGTTAACCTGTTGGTAATCTACACATAAACAAACCTTCCCCTAATTCGGGTTCTTCACAAAAACTATTGGAGAAGACCATGCCAATGTTGACGGCCAGATAAATCCGGTGCGCTGCAAGTTTGCCAATCTCTCCTTTAGTGTATCAAGCAGTGCCGGCAACAGCTGTCTGACCGGCTGGGAGATGGGCTGAGCCGCTCCCGTATCAACAAGGTGTTCTATCACCCTTTCTCGGGACGAGACTGCCTTGATTGGACCAAAAAGTACTGTGTACTCGTCAACCAAGAGCCTCAAATGCTTAGCCAGAGGCTCATCTGAGCCAAACGCCAATGGCAGCTCCACCGGAACCTCATCTCGAGGCCCCACCACGCCCTCGGACTCCGTCAACGCAAGCAGCTTCTCTTACGCTCCTGACCACAAACTACTCCTTCTGAGAAAAGGCGGTATGAACACTTCCTGCTTGTCAGTGAGCGGAAGCAAATAAGTGTCCTGAATGAGACAATTTTCTGACAATCCTGGCTGAAAAGGAAAGACATTACCAACAGGTCCCTTCAGCATCCAAGTGTTGCTCTCCCAATCTGTGGAGACAACATTAGTTGCAATCCAATCACAACCCAAAATGATGTCGTATGTACTTAACGGCGCTATGCAACAGTAGACGACAAAACTCACACCAGACAAACGAAATGAAACCTTCCCTAACCTATTGTCCTGGATTTTGTCCCCATACGCTCCTGTAATACAGAAATTGGTGGGAGAGAAAGATATAGGGATCCTACGGTTGGATGAAAAAGAGGAGGATACGTACAACAAACCAGCGCCTGTATCCAGAAGGACCCTGGCCAAGCAGCCCTCCACCATGTGATGGAATTCAGCACAGAATTTATTTGGCTCGTCAGCCATTAAATTCAATGACTCAACGGGCTTACCACCCAAACAATCAAATACAGTGTCGGCAGCTTCCCAGCGAAGCTTGTCCGACCCGGCTACCCCCATGCCTGGGCGGTCAGCTAGACTCAATGATGCATCAATCTCACAGTGAGGCTCACATAACTCCGGTTCAAAAAGAGATTCATTACTGAAAGAAGAGAGAACTGGAATTACAACAGACGTCAATGGGAGAGACTCCTCACCATTGACTACGCTTTTTTTTCTTTATTGCTTTTTCTTCAGCGTGCTTTGCCTCCCAAGCCTTTTGACAATCCGTCTTTGGCTCTGGGAACTTGGCGAGAACATGCCCCTCCTTCTTGCAATTGTAGCAAGCAAGGCAAGAGGACTTCTTCTTCCGGTCCCAACCGTAGTCGCCATCTGATTGGCGCTTTCCGGATCCGCCACCAGAGGTGGAGGCAACAGGGTGCAATTCGCGATGCTTGTGGTCGTGCTCAATGGCGTACAACAGGATTTGAGGGAAGTCCATTGGCTTGCGTTGTAACAAGCTTGCTGACCTCCATGGCTTGGCCCCGGATCAGCTTCTTGACGAACGTCGTCTTCTCGTCGTACTGGTAACCATAGGTCTTTGCCTTGGTTTGCCAGTCTCTGAACCGTTCGTAGAACTCCTGACACGTCTCGTTCTGGCTTTGGAAAAGGCGGTTGAGCTGGTCGGAGATTGACTGGTCTGTAACTGCTAACGGATTCAGAGTGATCAACCACTTTTTGAAGTCGGACAGCTCTTGGGTTTGGAATTATCAAGGACTGCATCCTTGTAGTTGCGGAAGGCTTTTCCACTGAGGCATCTACTAGTGGCAACATTCCAGACACCAATGTGAGCCTGGCGGTCTTCAAGGAGTACCTCCATGGTGACCAACCAATCCCGGGCATCTTCACCCGGGGTGCCCTTGAACTTGGGGCAGTCCTTGTTTGGCCAGGCCTTCAGGATTTTGCCCACGTTGACCTTGGAGTGGAGTTGAGGGGGCGCAGGGGTCAAAGGTTTGACTGACGGCTTCACGTCTTCAGTCGGATGGTTGCCTTTGACATCGACATTCATCTGGGAGAAGGGACCAGTAAGCTTCGACTGAATCTCCTTATCATCTACTGAAGAGGCACCTACAGGGTTCTCGTAATCAATTAGCTCATCGTCGGGCACCTTGATCGGATGTTGGCGCTTAAAGAGCCACTGACATTCTTCTGGGCCCAACCCAGCCACCTTCTCCTTGGAGTAAGGCACCCCATACTTTGGCGCTGGGGGAGCAATCTCCTGGGGGATCGGCAAGTTGTTGGTCTTGGGTGGTGGGGTCCGAGCTAAAGACATCGTCGATCTACACAATCGGAGAACACAAAAGAACACAGGCTGTAAGCCTCACAAACAGAAATCAAAACAGCACCGGGTGCTACTGCAAGAGGCATTCGGAACCTCTACTGAGGAGTTCCCAAAAACTGCTACTGGCTACTTGGTCCTCAAAGACGTCGTCTAAAGGAGGGGGATCAACTGACAATTTGCAGGTATAGTTTGGAAGAGGGCAGTTGGGGTGAGTCCAATAGACAATTGAGAGCAAAAGATAGTATGTAAATTGCCTCCTTCGAATGGATAAGTAAACGTAGAGCGGTATTTGTCGGACAAAAAAAGATAACTCGCTACCACTGTAACAGAGCGGGCTCAAATGTCACAGAAATGAGGGCTTTTTAGAGCGCGAGGTGATGCTTGGGGCCAGAAAGACTAGAACTGGAGGACTTCCCGTCGCCATTTAGAGTGCTTTTTAAGCCCTCTACAGTCCTAAATTAACACCTCCATCATAATTCCAACCAGCTCACATCAGAGCTATCTTCACAAGGCTTGTGAAAAAATAAATTTTTATACCAAAAATTAAGATCTAGGGGGTGTAAATTGAAATCTGGGAGGGTTGTAAACGGCGACGGGAAGTCATCCACTAAGATGTATTCCGTCTGAAGATAGATGGGTGATCAAAAAACAACTGGAGAAGAGGCCGATACAACCTAAGAGAAAGAAACCAAGAGCCAAGAGAACAAGTGCCAGCACGCAATGCTGCAAGGAGTGACTAGAAAAGAGATGACAGAAGGAATGTTCGTCATAGCGCAAGTACCGCGCGTCGTAAGAGAGGCTCTACATCTACCGGCTTCCAACAGAAGGCCGGTAACCGTTAGGCCTCTATGGCTGTGATAACTGCAGGGGGTTGCTTATGCGGTAGCCCCTGTACCAGCGTACTTTAGCCGGTATCTTGTACCGGGTGCATACCGCACTGCTACAGTAATTATCTGTTTACTTCTCTAATGCAAGCATGAGGAACAAAGTAAATAGGGGGTATCAAATATAAGCAAATCCACAATTATTTATTGTGTTTGCAAGAAACCTTGGATCGGTTTGCTTTTTGATTTTTTTGTAATCCTTCCAATTTATGGATTTACCTTTTTGCTTTATTAATTTCAGATAAGTTTCTGCCTCAGGTGTCCCAGGGCTTTCAACTTCTTCCTCAGCTCATGCGACGGTCCAGTGCTTGGTCGGCATCACTGATGGGGCAGAAGGGAGTGACCGGCAGTCCTGGTGAGCGGCTGGTTGGACCTACAAACTGCCCTGGTTCCAAATATGAACCTCGTTTTTTCTTAATTCTCCTCCAAGAGCATCTACTGGAGCAACATGGCTCCGGAGGTGGTTTTATCCTTGGGTGTTATCTGACATCTGTCAAGATAAAACCCGACTGAGAAAATGAAAATATTGGATTAGCAAAATCAAATTAAAAGGATTACAAAAAATTCAAAAAGGAAACCAATCCAAGGTTTCTTGCAAACACAATAATTGACTGGTTTTGAAAAACCCACCATGATTCAAACATGTTGGTTTTTCATCTTGCACCTTTGGGGACCCATTGGTGGAAAAAAATATTTTTGGATAATTTACTGGTTTCTAATGGTGGATTTCTTATATTTGATACCCCCTAATGAAAAGGTGTAGTCTCTCTATATACATGCAAGTGGTTCTGCTCAGGTACTAGTGGTAAGATATCAGCTGAAATGTGAATATGGTCTAAAATAAGTTGTATCTGAAAGACAAGTGATTCTGAAATAAAAATGGCTGACAAATGTGTAGTATGAAATAATTTTGTTGAAAAATATCAAACAATCTATGTTTGTGATAAAATTAATATGCAGTGAAAAAGAAATTAAATGATAAGAAACTGAAATATATATTCTTAAGTGAAATAAGAAATCTGTATGGTGAAATATATATGTAGGTGATATAAGCAATGTTTAATAGCAGGGTTCATGATCAGCTCATGTCAGGAAGATTTACCGCAACCTCAGCATTCACAATCTCTGCTGCGGAGCTTAAATCCATTACAAAAAATAAAGAAACCCTGCAAAATGTTAGGAAAAATAAGGCCCTCACCCTCTGATGGAAACATTCTTACTTGTGCTTCTGTGCTGCCCATCCGGCCACCTATAAATCACAACCAACAAAACTCCCTGTCCCATCCAGCCACCTATAAATCACAACCAACAAACCTCCCTGTCACATCCTGCCACCCATGAACCCCAACCGAAAACACCCCTGAACCAACCTTAATCAACAATCCCCTTGGTTTAAAAATGTGGACACCCAGTGAACAACAGCAGCTCATCCGTGATGTATTCCTTGTCATGGCCTACCACCACAAGACGGAAACAGAAAACCTGCTTGACATGAGAATGGGTCTTCTAACAATCCCAAGGTTTGCCGGCATCCTGTTCCCAACTAGCCCAAGGCTTCAATTTTTGTGGGAGATGTTATTTGAGGACAAGACAGAGGCTGGTGAGATTCTTGAATACATACTTAGCCAGCAATACTTGGAGGCCCCCCAACTACCCATGAAGACTACAAAGTCAGTGTCAGCAACTTCCAATACCCCACCAGTTGGCCCTTACCCTCAAACGACTTGGCTCAAATGGGAACGGTGCTTCAGTTGGCCGGTTCTCACAAAATCTTAGCGTCGGCCAAGGTACTGTACCATCAAAGTCAGTCAACAGGTCATTCAAGCAATTAATGAATCCTTGGAAGGTTTCATTGCCTGGCCCAATCAAGAAAGACAGGCAGAAATATCCCAAGTGATGAAGGAGGGGGGCTTTGAAGGCTGTGTTGGTTTTGTTGATGGAACCACTATCCCTTTGCATCAGCGCCCTGGTCTTGATGGCGAAGTATACTGGGATTGAAAGAAGCAGTACTCAATTAGCTGTCAGATCATGTGCAACTGTGATAAAAACATCACTTTGTTCATGACTGGCGGGCCTGGGACATGCGGGGACAGCATGGTCTACAAGTCAAGGAAGATCCACTCGGAAGCAGAACGGTTCCTTGGCCCAGGTAAGTCATCTCATGATCATATTCTTCAGCTGATAACTCACTGATGTATCAGCTAACTGGTGATGTTTTCTTTTGTCTTATCTGCAGGCCAGTATCTCCTGCCCAACTCAGCATATGCATTGTCAAAGACAACAATACTAGCTTCAAATGTCCTGGAAAGCACAGAGTTCAGCTATTTTTTAGCCAAATCCTGGGTAAAAAATGAACACACTATTGGGATTATAAAGGGTTGAGGGGCATCTCTCCAGAATCTCCAATTGTGTCTCAATCAGAAAGATCATATGATGGAAATAATCAGATGGATCAACTGCTGTATTGTTTTGCACAACATACTTGCTCAGCTTAGTGATTCATGGAACAAGATGGACAATACAGCTTGGAATGATTTAGGTCCTCTGGCTCCCCCTCCTCCAGAAGGCCAGATCAGTTCTGAGGAAGAACATAGGGACATTATACAAAAGAATTGTTTGGACTGGAACTACTTGATTGGCACTCTCCCCATCCCATCTTAATCCACATTCTTTTTCTCTTGTCATCCATTCTTGCCTCAGTTTGATACAGTCAATTTTAAACACAAGTAAACGATTGTTATTTTTTTTTTCAAATGCAATTCATTCATTCCATTAATCATGTGAGTGTGAGATGCGTTGCTTAATTAGTGCAAATGAGAAATGGAAACAATTTCATCAATCATCTGATTAATATGCATGAGTTGATCAATCATGTGATCATGAGGGACATTGGTTGTGGGCTGAGCCTGAATCAAAGAACATACATAGATTATGAGGTACATTGGTTGTGGGATGAATCAAAGAAGATACATCAAGTCATGCATCATGTGATACAATTGGAGTCAAGGGAGGGAATAAGATATGACAATTTTTAAAGACCAAGAACGGTCAGAAGAGAACAAAAGATATTGGTGAGCAAGAGCGGCCAGAAGGATGTTGTGATCAATTTTAACCAAGGATCACAGACCAAAGGAGTCCAAGGGATGATGAGATTAGATAGAGAGAGTCAAAATTCAGAAGAGAACATCAAATATCAGCTTTCTAGAAAAGACTCCTGAGGAGTATCTCAATATCACCGGAGCTCTTTCCTTCAGCCAACCACTTTTCAGAAGCATCCATTTTGGCTTGACCCGCTTGGAAGACTCCTCTCGTTCAAGGTTGTACTTCTTCTGCTCCAACTGAAACTTGCTCTCCTCAATTCCCATGTGCTTGTTTAGGTAGGCAAATTTTTGTTTGGATGAGGATTCAAATGCACCAGCAACTGTAGATTTTGTCTTGTTGTTGGTGGTATCTCTTCTTGGGGCCAGGATAGATCAGTCCAGACCAGGCAAATTGACAAAACGTCCACGGGTGGCCAAGTCCAGAGGAGTGAAGTTACCGTGTGCCATTAATAGTGTTGGGCTCACTGGGTTGGCTGATGTAGTGTTTTCAGAGCTTGTGGGGAGGAGGTCTTCAAGGGAAGGTAGCTCGCCATTGACCTCATTGTTATTGATGTTGAAGCCACTTCCTTGGTGGTTTTCAATGAGTCCATCAATTGACTGATCATTGAACAGGCTCAGATCAATTTTTGGGCAAAAGGGAACTGGCAAAGGTGTTTGAGGATAAAGGCTTGCACCTGGCTCAGATTCAAAAATACCAGCAGGGGAGTAATTGGCCTTTGGTCCAAAAATGCTTTCCATGCAAGAATGATAAGGGAAATTGGATTGTAAACTAGTGTTGTAGGATCAAAACTGTTTGCCCTCCTGAGTACCTTTGCCGGCTGAGTTGGATTTCTTCTTGGCATCAAAAAGTTGCTTCTTGTAGGCCACCAACCATTGACGGCAAAGTTTGCTTTCCAAGGTGAGGCCGCTGTGACTGCTGGTGCTCATGTATATAGCAAAGGGACTATAGGCAGCCCCCTTGGTGATGCATTGAGGACCACCGTG